TGTGTGTGTGTGTGTGTGTGTGTGTGTGTGTGTGTGTGTGTGTGTGTGTGTGTGTGCGTGTGTGTGTGTGTGTCTGTGTGTCTGCACGCGCGCGCGTGTATCGTCTTCGCCGTCATACACATTTTCGTTAGGAGGACGACATCCAAAGAAAGGCGGCAGCTTCATCGGACATCCTTAGCTTGTTGCTTGGCTGGGGAGGGAGGACAAATACAACAATGGGGAGACTTCGTCCGTGAGGAGCTCGCGGCTATGGAGGGCGGCTGAGACGGGTGCGGAGAGGGTGGACATGTGGTGTTGATCCCATTTGAGTGGGAGGCCATGGCGGCGGCCGTGTCGACGGTTGTTCTTCTTTGTCAGTTGGGGAAGGTGCTATGAAGAATGAAGGAGCAGTTGTGTGTGCGTAAAAGAAGGACATTGGCGCAAACTCTGGATGATGGCCCCGACTACCTGGAGACCTCCGAGGCAGTCATTCAGTTGTCATACTCGTTGGGTTCCGCGTCATTCCGTGAGTGACACCGAGGTGGTGGATAAAACATAGGACCGGAGGCACGTGGCGAGACCTTAGGCAATGCTACGACTCGACGAACGACTATTTCCGAGAGCAGCTACACATGTTGCCACGTGTGTTCCAGGAAATCGCACAGGCATGTGCGCCTCATCTTCAGCGGCAGGTGAAGTTCTACAGGGAGCCTTTGCAGCCCGACCAGATTGTGGCGTATGCACTATACAGGTTGGTGTTGGGGGAGACATACGAGAGCAGCACGTGCAACTTCGGAATTGGCAGAGCGTCTGGCCTGGTTGCTCTCCGTGACGTGACCGCCACGCTGCTTAGTACGTAGACAAGATTAGCGGGCCGACTCAGCCCGACTGGAGCTCGCAAACTCGTCCCTCTGTTGACTTCCACTTATAAACCCAATTGGCACGGTTGCATTGACTTCACTCACATCTATGTAGACAAGCCAGTGAACACCCCATCAGAAAACTACTATGATAGGAAGTGTCGGTTCTCCATTGCCTCGTAGGTTGTCGTCGACCTCGGCTTGCATGTACTCGATGTGCACGTCGGATACCCAGGTAGCTGCCACGACATCAGGGTGCTCCACTTGTCCAGCCTGTGGAAGCGCACGGAGTCAAGGTCGTTGTTCCATGGTCCTCGTGTGACAATCAACACGTTATTCGTTAAAATAGGACATTATACTGTGTCCTCTTTCTAACGAATTAATTTTTGGCTGCAGCCTAAGCAACGTAGGCATGMCCATCCAGAGGTTAACCACATGCAGAAGCGTGCTGAGATCCATACTTGTGAAACTTCATAAATGAAATCCCAAATGTGGGAGTGTGTCGGGATCCTTACTTGTTGAACTTCAAAAACATGTTGGTGATCCCGTAGGGAAGTGTGTTGGGATCCATACTAGTCAAACTTCATAAACGAACAACGATTGGCACGCCAAAGGGAACCCTGTGCGAAAGTGTGCCGTGATCCTAAGTTGTCAAACTTCAATTTCATAAATGTGATGAAAGATACAGTAACTATATTGTAACACTGTCCTCTTTCTTACGAATTCATTTTTGACTGTAGTGTTTGTACATGGGCATGCCCGCCCAGTCGTCCCACATGCGAAAGTTTGCTGATATCCATAGTTGCTGAACTTTTGTAAACAAAATTAGCAATGTAATAAGATTGAATTAGATTAAATTGTGCTCCATCACGATGAATATCCGCATTTTAAATGGTCATGCACAGAAGGTTTGGACATCCACTGACCAATTCCACATAAGATGAGATTTCTCATTCATCCACCAACCAGTTTCACAATCATGTTTACACTTCCAGTTGAACAGAATTCGAAACATGGAACACTATACTTCAACTTGAACAGAATTCGGAACATGGAACATTACGTGACATAGATTGCAAAGCCCATACATGACGCATAACATGCATTGAGCTTGCCGTAGATAATGCGAACTCGGAACGATAAAAGAAAGCAATGCCTCTGGCAGAAGGACAGTTGAATAATTTCTCGATTTACAAAATTTAACGATCAACGAATCGAACACCTTAAAAAAAAGTTTTGAAGTCAATCAAATCCATCAAAGACAACGATGTTCTAAGACACATGATGCTAATTGTCGTCTAAGAAGCGGAATATCTTTACAAGAGAACCGGAAAGGCGGTCGATCTCCATGTTGCAACAACGTCGCATACATCAACATGAACACACCACAGCTTGCTCCATCCACTTGTCACGGAACTCCATCCACCACAACATTTCCCACCATGGACTTCCAATTCCTACCCAACCGCCTATGTGATGTTTGACGTTCCAAATACTGCACAATCAACTCGAAAACCCTAAGGTAAGAACTACAATCAGCTACAATGCGAGGAAAAGAATCAAAAATTTCGAGAATATCATCTCTCATGTTGACGGCAACGAGGATCCAGTGATCATCATCTTTGTGGATAGGAACGAAGATAATATCGTAACGAAGCAAATCTACGTTTTCAGCCCACCTCTGCACACCACCGTATCCTTGAAGTCGCAGTTTACTGAAGAAAAACGAATTAAAGCTGAAGACTTGAAGGCCTGAAGAGATGTCACGTGACCCACATGCGGTCGACCCCAACAACGCCATATAGAAATTGACCACCTCATCATTCACCCTGCCGTTGACATGCAAGAGGATGAAGAGATCTTTTGCTGCAATCCGAAATTGACCATCGCCCAGTGTAGAGAGAATGGTGTTAGACGATATCGAGCCTCGTACAATGTCATCCAAAACCCGCAAGCTCAGAGGCGCAATCGTCGCAGCGAAACTTTTCCCGCGTGCTGCACTTGTTGCCCGCACTGCACAACATCGAGCAAAGGACACGTGGGGTAGTAAGAAACGGAGTTCTAGACATTGTCCCCCGGTGCATGACGCGTTGCTAAGTACTTCTCATACATGGCCTGACCCCTACTCACAGATCGTGGATATGTCCCTTTCTCAGGGGCAAGAAGGGAAAGACATTCCTCAATGGCAACGGTGTACTCCTTCTTCCCAATCTCGACATCAACCCCTGATGCCTTTAACATATCCTTGCGTTTTTTACTCAATCCGGGGACTTTCTGCAATATTTGGAGGCCCTCCGTGTTCGAGACGACACCACCCCTGTACAACAGAAGAAAGACAAAACGAAAAATGAGAACCATACATTCGTACAGACGCAACAGTCAAGCAGGACCTCTCCGACCACAGGACCCTGATCTCACGTGGTAATGTACACCCAGGTGCGGTTGTGCGATTGGAAGACAAAATGACTGCAACATCCGAGCTTATCACCCCCGCACTTCGCAAAGGAAAACCACCACAACTCACTGAAGCCGGAGACCAACAATCCGCGAAGTTCGAACTGCGGCGGACTTTTGAACACACCAGCCCCACTGAGAATGACCACATCACGCATCGACAAAGGAAGTTCGGATCCCGACGGACTAAAACCGGCACTATTCCCGAGAAGGGAAAACTGTCAGTCCATGTACTTGGCCACTTTCTTAGGACCTTGGCCTACAGTCAAGCAGGACCTCTCCGACCACAGGACCCTGATCTCGCGTGGTCATGTGCACCCAGGTGCTGTTGTGGGACTGGAGAACAAAACGACTGCAACATTCGAGTTTATCACCCGTCGCACTTCGCAAAGGAAAACCACCACAACTCACAGAAGCCGGAGGCCAGCAATCCCCGAAGTTCGGACTACAGCGGACTTTTCAACACACCAGCCCCACTGAGACTGACCACATCACGCATCGACAAAGGAAGTTCGGATCCCGGCGGACTAAAACCGACACTATTCCCGATAAGGGAAAACTGTCAGTCCATGTGCTTGGCCATTTTCTTAGCACCTTGGCCACTTCCTCAGCCGGGGCAAATCCTTCCTGAGATGGAGTGTAAGGTTTTGGACGAAGTTTTCGCCGCCCTCGACTAGCAACCCGGCCGAGTCACAGGTAGGCCGACGAGCTGGAGTAGGAAGGGCTGCTGGCTGTAGCATGCCGGCATCCGGAACTTCCCGTATGCACATGTGGACAGTCGTCGTGTGTATAGCGCGGACTGTTATCCGGCGACATCCGGATGCGCAGGCGTTCTTCACGGCTTACCAGTCTGTTTCTCGCTCCGCTCCTTCGATGGTTAATTTGGCGCAGGCAAAGCGAGCACGTCGAGAGCCTGACCGCCGAACCTCGAGTTTTTTGGGGACGTCACATGCTGTCCTCCACCGCACTCGGCTTCCTCTTCGGCGGCAAGGGTGGCCTGCAGCACCAGAGACTTCGGCGGCGACGAAGCGAGGGCAACTGCCATGGAAGATGCGACGTTGGCAGTTGCGGACGGACGGGCAGACACGTTGTGGTCACCGAGGATACCGTCGATAACTTCGTCGATGCTTATACGTCGACTTTTTTCAGACGGGCTGATAGCGACGGAAGCCTCGTTGAACCGGTGCTGCAAGTCGACAGCAGACGTCAGTGGCCGGACCGCATAATCTTCAGGCTTTGCGGAAAGGTTGCTGACCACTTGTGTCTCCATCTGTATTGTTGTGGCATCGCCGTCGACATCATCCTCGTGATGCTCTCCGTACAGTTGTCCGAACTCGTCAGACGACTCTCCAGATCCGGCATCATCCTCAGTGTGTTCCACTTCGTCTTCTCCAGACCCAGCACCCTCCCTTCCTTCAAACAAATCAATTAGCTCCGTTTCTCCCGCTTCCTACCCTTCCACCTCTTCTTCCCTTTCTTCCTCCCCTTCTTGCGCTCCCTTTTGTTCCTCCATTTCCTCCCCTACTTGCCTCCCACGAAACTCGTCCCCTTCCGCGGTACCCGTGCCGAATCGCGAGGACCGCCCTTCCGTCCCCGTGCACGCTGCCCCTCTCAACAGCACGACAATCCCTGGCCGACAAACCCCGCCCGAAGAAGTTCGGATCTCGGTGGACTTCGTGGTCTCCGTGTCGCCGGACCCTGCACTTGCAGCCTCCCACTGCAATCCTTGCGGCCGTCGCTCCTGCTCAGGCGACACCGTTCCGACGTCTCCGTCCTGCGCCGCAATGATGCAAATTTCTCGATCCGTGCTTGGATCCCCCGACCCCGAGCAGCTTCGCATTCCGGACCGCTCTGGTGGCTCCTCACCCGACGTAGTTTGGATCCCGGCGGACTTCGGCTTTTCGGCCGAGCGACTGCCCAGAGCAACCAAGGCTGCCAACGTATCCCTCGCTGAGCCCACGGACGAAGTCTGGGGGTCGGCGGAGTGTGTCGTGTGCTCGGGCCGGGTGCCTGTCGACGGAGTCCGGTCGACGGCGAAACCCGCCACCCCGGCGCTGCCTCCCGGTGTCGTGTTGCGGCCGTGAGACCCTCTCTCCCCCATAGGCGGGATTCCTTTGCCACCCCCTGCGTCGCCACCCCCATCCCCTCCGCTTCCATGTGACCCCCCCCCGGAACCACCGTCCGGCCCACTGGGAGGGGGCACTTTCCAGTCCACCACGCCCTTCGACGGACTCGTGTCGAGCTCGTAGTAGTCCTCCGTCAATTCCAACCAGCACTTGTCCTTAAGCTCGTCAAACAGTCGACCGACAGTGGAAATGAGGGACAGGTCGCTGGATGCTAAAGTGTCATTTTCGACCTTCACTTTCTGGAGGACCGAAATCCTCGCGAGGTGCAGGAAGTTGGACTTCGACTCGCGTGGGAATGACACCCATACCGCGCCCGGGATTGCCACGACCATGACCCACTCGCCATTTCGTATCGCTGGCTGGATGACTCCCGGATGCCAAACCATGTCATGGCCCCAGTCCTGCTCAGGTGAATGACGTTGCGATTCAAGCAGGAAGTGGATGTTGTCATCCTTCCAAGACGGATGATCGGGCGGGCCAGAGCTCTAAGTCTCTCCCGCAACTTCATCGGCGTGGTGCCCAGCGCCGGTTTGGCCAATGGTGACATGAGAGCTGCAGCGCTTGGTGATGGACCGGCCGACGAGGACCCTCGGCCGTGGTCCGCCGGAGGCGTGTTGTACTACAGGTCGATGCTCTCCGTGTCGCTCTCCTCCTCCTTCGCGTTGGTGACAAACTCCACACCTATGGCTTCCTCGTTGTCAGTGGAGATCAGAGAAGCGTAACTGGCTAACTTCAACTGCTCCTTGGACTCCACGAAGTACAGCGACTGCAGCCTTTCGATAAACGTCTTCGCGTTCATGCGGGAGACGAAGTGGTAAATGTCAAGCAGTGCCAACATGTGGTCCTTCCAGTGGATGTACTCGGCGTCAGTGTCCCTCCTCGGACGCGTTTGAAGGAACAAGAAATCGTATATCTTGTTCCTCTTCCTCTCGCTCAACTTGAACCACATATCCGTCTTCTTGCTCCACACCTTATCCCGTGTTGGCCTCACGACCATGAACTCATAATTGTGCCCACTCGAATTGACCTCGCTTTTCACCAGTTGCATCGTGAATTGCAAGAGGTCGGAGTTACCTTCCATTGCGACAACGTGCCGACCGACCTTCAGAAGCTCCCTGACGCTTCGCGCGTGCGATTTCCCAAGGAACATGATACCCTTTCCCTTCTTGCCAAGAAAATCAAGAAGACCGACGAATTGGGTCGGATTGCGTTCCATATCCCCGTAGACGCTGCCCTATTGTTCATGCGCCACCAGCGACCAGTCGCAAGGCGTGAAAGGAATCTCGGACACATCCGTGTGGGTGACTCTTTGAGGCAATCGCACCGCAGCAGCGGCACCCGTGGGCAGGTTTCCCTCGAAGACCACGGACGTGTTGACGCGCAGATCGTCACCCTTGAAGAGGATGTACATACGCCCTTCCTCCGTGTACAAATTGTTCCCAACAAGGAAGCTTTTTTTTCGCTGCACTCTCCGCACCCACTTCCCTTCCAACAGCTTGACGAAAGAAAGATGGTGCATGCTGGCGAGAAACGACAGGTTGTGCTGCCGCGGCACGAAAACAACGAGAGTCCAATGCGAGGGACACCACGTCTGAAGATAGGAATTCAAAGTCTCCCACGCTTGGGGCTTCCACAGTTTGAGGTAAACCTGCTCGCATAGATCGAGGACGAACGTGTGGCTCTTTGTGGCAGTCACTGCCTATTTCAGCTCTGCGCCCCTGATGTCCGCCTCTAAAGGGTCGTTGGCGAATGGCGCGATGGATGTCACGTCCCCCGTTTCTTTCCATTTAATGTGAACGACGCCTTCGGCAAGTGTGACTTCCCGGCTCTTCAGTCTGCTTCCATTCAACACGGAGAGAACCTTGTTTCTCCAGTCGACTGACAACTTCTTGTGGCCCGCTAACTTCTCTGTCACCTCAATCGAGTTGTCCTGGTCGCAACCCATGTACGGCGGGCAGTCCTTGAACAACGCCGAGTCGGAAACGTGTTTCCTGCTGTTATCCCACAACTCGTCATCCAATCCCCGACCTTCAAACTTCTTGAAAACGGCAGACCTCGATTTCACGAAAGGGTACCTTTGGATCCAGTCCGTGTCCAGCCTCTTCTCGTGCTTGAATTGGTAGTAATTCCACAACCGGACCAGCACGCGGTCGCACTTCACCAGCTGAACCATGTCCTGCACGCTGATCTTTCCCAACTTCGCCAACGACGGGGAGCCGGCCTGGACCCAAACGACCTCGCAAGTAAGCACCTTTTTCAGAACGCGACACTTCTCATTGTCCATGGGTGATTCCATTGCTTTCCAACAATGCGCGTCCGGGTCTGGCACTTGCACGAACCAATCGCCCTCCTCTTTTTCCTTTTTGCCCTTTTTATTCGATGGGTCCACGGGGACATTGTACACCACCTCCGTTCTGCCCAATTTGTCGTTGTGGATGTAGGCGACCCCAGGCTTTACGTTTTTGACCTTGTTCTTTTTTACGGTCCACTTCGCCCCATCGTGGCTCAGCAATCTGCCCGTCTCCCATTTTTTGAAAAATTCCACGGCCGATTTCCGGACATTTTCCCCGAGGTAAGTAAGAACGCAGGGCAACATTTTGCTTTTTAATGGCCTCCTCTTCCTTTTGATCCGCGAGAAGCCACAAGCTGTTTTGAGGCGCCTTATGGAGCGCCGTTGTACAAAACTTACTCCAAGCCCGGACCTGATCTTGTTTCCCGCTAGGGTTCCCCATCACAGCTCTCGGGCAGCCGTCATGCTTCCACTGCCATCGAATGTCGTTCATAGAAAGTTTCAACTGTCTGGGAGGCGCCTTCAGGTTCTTGTTGTCCTGTGAACTAACAAGAAAATACCCTTCGAAGTCATCGTCAGAAAAGTACACCATCCGTACCGGCCACCGCTCGAAATTGTACTTCTTGGCCACCTCGCTGCCGAGCAGCGACCTGGCTGCAGCCGCATTGTGCTGCCCGCACACCACGTAGTAGTAGTATTCTCCCGCCAGCTCATCCTTCCACTCCTCTGGCTTCAGACGTTGTGCCTTGGTCCTAGGAGTTGGTTTTTGAAGCCCCAATGGTGCGAGCTTGAAGACCGGCAACTCGTACGTTTGTTCTTTATTTTCGAACGCAGACCGCATTGCTTCCCTTATCGTTTCCACGAGGACGGGATCTAGCGACCGCTGGTTGTAAAGATCCTCCCACTCCCTTATGTCAACGATCTGAGCCGGGCTAATCTCAAACTCCCGCCTTGTCCTGACGCCGTCTTTGTACTCCAGGAAGTACCCGGCGTCCACGTCGATGGCAGGTCGTGGTGAAGAAGGGCCCGACTCAGGCTGTTTATGTTTCGAAGCTGGACTTTTGCTACCCGGGTGACCCTCTTCCACCCCGCTCCCCTTCCGTTTCTCTCCCGGAGTCCTCGGGGTCTTGGTCTCCTGTTTCTTCGAAGAGCCCACCAACTCTTCTTGACATTCTCCCCTCCTTTTTGGGGAGTGCCCTGCGCTCCCTCCCCGCCCACGGCCTCGCCTTCCGCGCCATGGCCCTCGGCGGGCTCCAAGTGAGACCCACACAGGACTCCCTCTTCTTCGGGATCCGCTGTGGTCTGTTGCCGGACCCCAAGTATGGACAGCATGGACCTGTCTCTTTCCCTCAACGGTGAAAACGGCGGACGCAGTGTGGCCTCATCTTCGCTGTCGTCAAACTGACCTCTGGCATCCTCCCGCTGCACATGTGTAGCCTCCCCGGAACCTAGATCCCCCTCCTCCCCCGCTGCCTCACTCGACTCACAACCGCCGCACGGCTGCAAAGGCATTGACAGTTCCAGGTCGGGACCGACTTCGCAAGGGACGTCGAGGGCGATGCCCTTGTCCTCCAACAGGTCGAAGAACTCTCGACCCAAAACAAACCCGCCCTGCCGCCGGAGGTCGTTGTAGAATGGGGTGTTCGCAGCACCTGCTCCGAACCCCTCGAACAGACACATGTCGAGAACTGCCCCCTTGGCACCGGCGACGACGTTCCCCTTCGAACCGTACACATTTTTCATGTAAGACCATCGACGACTGCCTTTCGCATTCTCCCACCGCAAGACAGCCCCCAGAACTATGCGACACTTGTTGGCTTCGACGAAGATCACAGGACCACACGGCTGTTGGATTGGGTTCGTAGCATCAGCACAGCACCAGTCGACGAACCATTTCGACCTAGCGTGGTCGGACCACGTCCTCCAGGTCGTAGACGACCGTTTTGTAGAATCTTTCCCAGATCCCATCCCGGAGGTCGCTGCAGGCTCCCCTTCGCCCCTGGACGAAGACATATTGTATGCGGACGACAACGGAAAACAAATAAAACACCAGCGAGCGTCAAAACGTAGTCAAAGCACAACACAAGTGAAAAACAGAGGAGGCACACCTTGCCCTCAACACGTCGGTCACATGACGCTATCCGAGGACCTCGAAGTTCGGATCCCGCCAACTTCTAACGCGAAGACCAACAATGACCTCTTACCTGCAACGAGATCATTCTTTACAAGGGCACATGCTTCATGCAGCCAGGCGACAACCACGTCGGTTTTTTCCGGAACACGAATGTCCACCGGATCGGGAACGGACGGGTGGTGACGCACAAAGCCCGCGTTGGACGGGGCAGTGTTCTCCGTTTAGCAATAGGAACCCGGACAGTTCAGGACGCGAAGTTCGCCGATATCCATACTAAAAGTGCCTGTCCGAAGCCAAACCAACGCACCCACCGAAACGTGAAGTTCGCCGGGATCCGAACTTCAGAAAAATGCGACAGGCAGAGACTGGGTCAGGCAAACACAGATTGGACTGAACCACGACCTGGAAAGGCCGCACTAACACAAAAGGCCGCTTGAAAAGGACAAGTTCGCCGAAATCCGAACTTCTTCTGATATGCGCAGCTTGGCATTGGATGAAGCCAAGTTCGAACGAGCAGCCGTGACAACATTGTATGAGTCCCTGGAGGAGCAGTTGTGGATTAGGGTTTGACTCGTGTCGCAATCCACGGGGGATCATCAAGCCCAGCGCCCATTCAATACACAGGCGTCACGGGAAGTTCGCCGGGATCCGAACTTCAGGAGGCTGCGAGAGAGACAGACAGAAAGTTGGGGTCCTAGCAAGGTGTCCTAGCACGGTGCCAACGGGATTTCCAACAAGAGGGCCCACCAACCGGGATCTCCAATGGGTTTCAGGAAATGCGAAGCTCGCGCGACCTTGCGACGGGGATCTCTAAGTGTGCTTTTGGCATCTCGCTACGACAGTGACCGACTGTTTGACACATGTTGATGTTGGATGGGCGAAAACCGGTTACGGGCAGATCCTTCCGCGGTGACGGGTCTTTCCCGCGGCCCGCCCGACACCAATGACATCGGAGACAAATTAACGGAGAGGCCAGAACGCGAAGTTCGCCGAGATCCGAACTTCGCCGGGGCACGACATGGCAGGAGACTGCGTCAGAGATGGACGTCCAACATGACTTTCGTCCTGTCACTGAACCGAACGACGACCAGGGATTTGCACGACAAGCGCGCGGTGCAACGTGTACCAGCAATCGGAGTCTCACACTTCTCTACAGTCCTACAAATCTGACATGTTAGGCAGCACAACCGCATCTCGTCCCTCGTCGTTCTTTTCCCTCAAACAGAAGGACTAAAGACCGGTTCGGATGCGGCGACATTTGGGGATCCCCCGGGACGACGTCGTGAACCAAAGCCAAACAAAGCATTCAGTGACGATCTGTATACGCGGGTCTGCGGTTCGTCGACCGATGCACTCTCCGAAAAAACGGACATGTATTTCATCCTAACCAACACCCCCCGTCGTGCCAAGGAGTTTCCTTTGCAGTCCCGTATGTCAGCCGCTTTCTCCTCAACCTCACGAAACAACGAATAGTTTCAAACCTGACCTGCTATCACCAAATCTGGCCACCCATCCACACGTCCAGGCCCACGCATCGGCACGAATTTGGACCCTTCAATCACAACCTCGTTGCGCGACACGAGCACAACTGCGTCGACGAGTTTCCTGCTCTTGTTCGAAGCAGCGACACACAGAACTCTGGCGAAATCAGATCCGGACACAATCAACCGCACCCAGCAGTACGACACAGCTCGTGGAGAAATCCCGGGGCCACGGAGCGGGTACTAGTCTAGGAACGAGCAGCGACGAGCGCAGTCCACCAACTCTTGTTTCTGCGAGCCACCCCAAGTTCGTGGCGACGACCTAACATTGTGGCACTCGAGGCGACTGAAATAGCGGCTAATGCAGCTTAGTGCTTTCCGCATATGGTTCAGGAACTTATGTCCAAGGACGGCGTCAGGCAGTGGGATGAGGTACCCGAACTCCAACATATTCGCGAACTTGTGCTGGTTTGCCCAAGGGCAGTGAGTCTCCATATTGTCCCAATTGCCCTCGCCCCAGTCGTCAAGATGCGCGTCCATGCACGGGACAACGGTCATCCATGGGTCCTCGTCGAAGTCCTCTGCGGTCGCTCCGTGGATCGTTATCACACCGTTGAAATGCCGCACGGATTTCGCACAAGGACGAGAAGGTTCTGCTAAGCGAATATGCGTCTCGGCACTCATGGCCTATGGTCTGGAGAAGACCGACTCGAAGATGCGTGGTGTCGAGAAGGTCCCCTCTATCACGCAAGCTGCACACCACGCGCATCATGCCCTGTGGGCCAACCGCAAACACGCCCTGCGACATGTTCGTCTGAATCCGAACTTGGCGAGATTGCGTGGGAAAGATGAAGCTGTCTCCCAAACTCGACGTCCAAAACTGCCAAGAAGTTCGGATCCATGCAGATTTCAATTTCGTACGAATAAAACGTTGTGGCAATCCACCGATCGCTAGGAAGTCCACCGTCAGAACCCGCACCACCCGAAAGGTGAAGCACGCCGGGGTCTGAAGTCGACGGTTTTCCGACGAACCGTGCACGGGAAGTTCGGATCTCAACGGACTTTGCATTTTATAGAATTCGTAGTCCGCCGTGATCCGAAATTTACGATTGTCTGGGGAACCGTGCACGGCAGGTTCTGATCCACGGCCCAGCAGGAACATCTCCTGCCACATGCATTGCGAAAGGAAGACAACTCAAATTCGTCGGGATCCGAACTTGGCAAATTCGCCAGGATCCGAACTTGCGAAAGGAACATCTCCTGCCACATGTATTGCGAAAGGAAGACAGCAGGTTCGGATCCACGGCCGAGCAGGCTTACCCGACGATGGGACGAGGAACCTTTGCACGCGAAGTACGGATCCCGACGGACTTTGCATTTTTGCGAAACAAAAGTTGTGGCAAACACCTGTTCGCGAGAAAGGACACAGTCAGTACCCACACCATGCGCGACGCGAAGTTCGTCGGGGTCCGAACTTGCCACGCGAGGTCCGGATCCACGGGAGGGTGTTCGCCGGGATCCGAACTTCTCGCGACCGCGTGGGAGAGAATCAACCGACGGGCTACACATTTTTTCAAATACAAAGTTGTGCCAAACCCCGGGAGCTAGAAACCCGCGTTCTGAACCCGCACATTGAGACAAGCAAAGTCGCCGGGGTGCGAACTTGACGTCTGTGTGAGGAACCGTGCAATAGAAGTCCGGATCCTGGCGGACTTCGCATTATCACGGATCCAAGGTTCGCTGAGGTCCGGACTCGACGAATGTGCAAGAAACATTGCGAGCGAGGTTTGGATCCGTAGACCTGCAGGAACCTGTAGTTGGTCGGGATCCGAATTTGGCGAAATTACGTGGGAGATACACACCTGTCTGCCATGCTCGCCGTCCTGCAATTTCTTGAAGTTCGGATCCCGGCGGGCTTCATATTTTTCCACGTCCCAGGCTGTGGTTGCGGACCGGGGCTGCGAAGCGTGTTCGAGCAGCTGCATGAAGTTCACCAGGATCCGGACTTGGCGAAATTGCGTGGGAGACATACACCTGTCTGCCGAACTCGTCGTCCAGCAATTTCTTCAAGTTCGGATCCTGGCGGACTTCCAATTTTTACACGTTCCAGGCTGTGGTTGGGGACCGGGGTTGCGAAGCGTGTTCGAACAGCTGCATGAAGTTCGCTGGGATCCGAACTTGGCGAAATTGCGTGGGAGATGCACACGTGTCTGCCAAACTCGCCGTCCAGAAATTTCTTGAAGTTCGGATCCCGGCGGACTTCTAATTTTCCACGTCCCTGGCTGTGGTTGCGCACCGGGGTTGAGAAGCATGCTCGAACAGCTGCACAAGCTCGCCGAGATCCCAACTTCTTCCGGTGTTTGATTGCGCGATCAGTTCAGTTGGAACGACCACGTTCCGATCATGAGAACAGTGTCGGCGACGCGTGGGGTGGTGGGCGCTCAACGTTCGCCGTTCAGTGACCGTCAAGTGTCGACGACCCTACGTCCTCCAAAGTTCGACGCCCGACGAGGTTCGACGCCCGCCAAGGTTTGATGGGGAGCCAAGTTCCATGGGCAGCATGGTTCAATGTTACACGAGGTTCGATGTGCAACAAGATTGTGACGAAGTGCTTTTTATTCGTTTGAAGATCGGGATCGACGTTTTTCCGATCGGTTGTGCGTTTCGTTCGCCGGTTTGGATCGTGCACATGATCATTTGCCTTGAGGATTCTCCACGATCGTTCTCCACGATCAATTAGCATAGAACAGTCGATTGGTTGATCGGTTGCTCGGTTGGCGGTTGGTGTGGTGGTTGATCAACCAGCAGAGCAATCTCCAACCGAGTTGTCGACCAATCAGTTGATCCTGGCAGATTTCCTGACCGATCGACGGTTCGGTCGAGGACTGTCAGGTGGGTAAATAAACAGGTCGCTCGCTGGCGGGTTGATCTTCGGTGCAGCACACACGATCAATCATCCGATCGCAAGTAATCTTCTGTTGTTTCACGATTGGTCGGTTGGATGCGTTGTCGCCTCGTGCATTGGTTAATCATCCGTCGGGAAGATCAGCGGCGATGTTGTTGGGGAAGCAAACAACATCTATCACCCGATCGCGAGTGGTCGTCTTGCGTTTCGTGATGGGTCGGTTCATCACTTGTGTGGTGTACATATTGTCATGGATCTGATCGACCATCAGATCACGAGTGATCTGAACACACACGACAGAAAGAACAACACACACGCGGTGGTAACGTCGACACGGTAGACACGACCAATCATCCGATCGCGAGTGATCTAATCGTGTTTTGCGATTGGTCGATGGATGCGTTCGCTGTGTCGACATTGCCACCGCGTATTTCGATTGATCATCCATTGGGCAGATCGGCGGACATGACATTGGGACAGCACACAAAACCAATTGGGTATGGCAAGTGCTCACGATGACGTTGTGTTTCGTTATTGGCCGCCGCGTGTTCGATCCGAGATTCCGTGCTTCGCCACTTGAGTACAGCACGAGCGCAATCGTTTGTTGATACTCTCCTCACACATCCTCACACATCCACACACAAGCGGAATCGAAGGGCGAACCATGACATTCGTCCTTGACCGCGCATGTTCGCGCGCATCTCCCCGCGGAAAACACGTGCGAACACACACGCACGCGAACACATATGCACAGGTAGGCACACATGCACACACACACACACACACACACACACACACACCGACACACGGCGCCCGCACACACATGCCCCTCAGGTACAGACGCGCGCACGATCCTGCCTCGCGCGTGTGCCACACACTTCAATACAAACACAAACACAAAGGAACACGCACTCGAACACACACACACACACAATGAAGCATGCACAAACACACAATCGCACACAAACACACACACACACACACGCCCACCCACACACATGCAGCCATGAAATCTTTCGATCTGCGCGAGCATATCGTCACAAAAAACCTCCCCCGCACGCGCGCACATGCAAACATACATCCCGACTGCGTGCGCACTCACCGTGTGGAACTGCCGAGTGAAGATGAGCGCGAACCCCGACGTTTGTCGTGACGGCACTCTGTCCACCTTTGGGCGTGCACTTCGCGTTTACTGGGGTGCTGCGTGGGGTGGCGGTCGCACCTTCCGAGAAAGGAGATCGGGAGCGACGTCGAATATGACATGGACAGCGACTTGGTAGGCGGAGGGACATGCGAGGGCATGTGGGGTGCGTCGGTGCCACGAAACGTGCGCGGTGAAGAATGGTTGTGCCAGCTATGGCGTGCCAGCTGTTGACCACAGTGGCGGTGCGTGGCTTCTGTCGGGCAGCATCTCCCCAGCAAAAAACGCAAAAAACGCAAAACGCATCGTCAATGCCCAGGGCGCCGCTCGTATTTGTAGGCGCGCGAGACACGAGGCCCCCTCGGGCCTTCCGTTTCGGATTTCCGTGCAGGGTCCGCGCGCTGACTCGCGGCTGTTCGATCCGCGCATCGAACGGTGGCTGCACGTCGAAATTGTCGCGAGGGGGGCCTGGTGCGTTGAAATGTGACAAAAACGTCCCTACGGGCTGGCCCTTCCCGGACATCATTGGAAAACGGGCCCTTGTTCGGGGCCCCTCGCGTTCGTGTCTTCGGGTTCGCGGGCCCCGGTGGAGGGGGTCTCAGGTGTCGGCGGGTGGGAGTTTGTACTTTCCAGGGG